CACATACCACCCTGCAAGGGGTGAGAGGGGGATTTATATATATATGTATGTATAGTATCCAAGTGTACATCAGGAAGATGGCCCCCAAAGATGAAGGGCTTAGTGAATACCTCAGGCCCAGAAACCTGAGGGTGAGGACAAGGAAGATGAAGAACCTTCATGGAGGGAAAAGCCCCTACACGGCATGTATGACAGACAAATATATATATATATTAGGGCTGGGCACGTTAACGCGTTATTATCGCGTTAATTAATTAACGCCGACAATTATTTTATCGCACGTTAAGGCAGTTTTTATTTTATTATTATTAGTTTGAAAGTCCCTTGCTCACTAGCTCTGAATACACATACAGTCAAACCATGGGTTACAGGAGGGACAGGATGTTGATCTGCCTGCAAATCACCCACCCAAACAAGCAGTGGAGGGAGGCTTCGGCAGACTATGCTGTCATCTTTTTTCCATATTTTTCCACCCGCGATCCGTTATCACGGCAGCAGGTGACGCAAACTATCGAACGACTCAAACAGCCGAAAGCAACATCTGCACCCTGTGTTCAATGTTGCTTTACCTTACCTGGTCTGTGCTTGTAAAATATCCACCGCGACTTGTAACATTATTTCAAGTTTTTAACTGAGTGAAGTCTGTGCGAGTGAACACACGCACCGACCCCGCTACACCCCCCCTCCCATGCCATCGTCCATCCCGATGTTTCAATGTAGTTTTGTGGGCATCGTCCCAACCCTACTGAACAGACTGTTTCTGCTGCTCCCTGATAAAAGATACCTGATGCTGATACCGGTTCAGAAAAAAACCCCAAGAAAATTGGACTGATGGTAACTTGTTTTAACAAGCTAGATAAAAGGTAATGCCCTGGCAGTGGCAAATAGCTTTGTTTTAATATTTGATTTGATTACATTAATGTTTAAGTTGAGATTTATTGCTACTGTGTGACTGTGCTACATGTTATTACACTTTTGTGTATATAGCAGTACATTTAAATTAAAATTGTGCAATACACTACTTTTCTAATAATAATTCATTATTAAATTTTACGCGTAACAATGCAATTAATTGCAATAATGCAATATCTAAATAATCTTCATTGCACATTAATTAAAACATAGTTGCCTGTAATTGTAATGGTTAATCAGTCCTAAATTGTCAAGTTCTCTCCTAACTCTATATTTTGACAGCACATTTTCTTCAGCACCTGTAATTAATACTGCAGTACCTGTAGTTAATACTGCAGAAACTATTTGCAATACATTTAACATCCAGGTTTTAATAGCATCCAGGTTTTGCCTTTTCCACTCATAACAACTCTATTTTCCATCTCTTTTAATGTACTGTATAATTCCTTTCAAACTGCACCTTGCGCTGTTTGTTGAGATTTGTGAGTTGGCTCATGCAACAAGACACAAGATGCATTTAATCTTTTTAAATATTATGTCATATATTTAATTAAATTACTTTTTAGATTCATAAAAGTTTTTCGAAATGTTTGGAAAACAGTTCAATTCTCTTCTCCTTCATAGGTCATCCGATTGTTCATCCTCCTACTTTCCTCCTCCTCTCACCATGAGCTCCAGGGTGGTGAACAGGAAAGGAGAGCCACAGTACCGCCGGCACTTCCTGACAGACAACAGCATCTTTCACTGTAAATATCACGCACGCATGCACGCACGCATGCACGCACGCATGCACGCACGCATGCACACATAGAATAATATAATGGACAGAATATAATGCACAGTATGTTCTTGTTGATAACTGTATGTTGTATGTCATGGGAATGAACAGTAGAGGGAGACTCGTCTCCACTACTGTGCCTCAAATACTTAGTAGATAGCAAAGCCAGGATTCAGTCTTACATCAAAAAGACACAAACCTTCTGCAAGCCACTGAATCGTTGTGTGAAAGGAATGAAAAACTGTCCACAGAACTTCATTCAGATTGGATATTATGTTTTTTTTGTTTGAATATAAAACACCTGTGCACAAGTATGTTTATTGTGTTTCTGTTCAAGGGTGATTCATACACATTAGTGCTTACACAGAGGAGCCAAATATGTCAATGTTGAAGAAAAAAGAGAAACCCCACCTTCCCTTTCCTTTTTCTATCATAGTTCCATCATCCAGCAGGGGATGTGTATATATTTCTTATGATTAATGTCTGCTTGCATCAACTTGAGTACCCTGACATATGCATACCTGTTTATTCCAGTATGTTGCATTAGATACAATTTCATAAAACAGAGCAAAAAGTGTATTTTGTCCTTTTCATTCTCCTTAAAAAATATTTAATTGAATCAAATTAAATTAATTTTATTATTTATATTATATTATATATTATTTATATAGCACCAAATCACAACAAAAGTTATCTCATAGCACATTTCATAAAAGAGCAGGTCTAGACCGTACTCTGTCATATTATTACAGAAACCCCCAAATTCCTACCAAGAGCAAGCACTAGGCGACACAGGCAAGAAAAAACTTCATTTTAAGAGGCAAAAACCTCAAGTAGAACCATGTCTCAGGGTGGGCGGCCATCTGCCTCAACTGGTTGGGTGTGAGGGAAAGGACAAGAGAGAGAGAGAGAGACATATAGAGGGAGAGAGGGATGGAGGGGGAGGGGGAGCAGCCTACACAATATACACACAGAAGTACAGACAGTAAAGTTAATATTGGTACAGACTGAATGAATAATGGTACAAATATTTATGGTAATGTTAATGATAAGATTGTTAATGATAATAATCCTAATGTTAATGAAAATAATAACAATAGTAATAACAATTGTAGCAGAGGGTGTCGAGCAGGAACATGGGGGTAGCAGGTGACTCGCAACCACAGATCCATATTCCACAGCTCCAGAGCCAGCAACACCTGCAGAAAGTGACAGGAGAAGAGAGGAGAGGGACGAGAAAGCACTACGGGAAAGGGAAGAAGTCAAGTTAGTAACATGCATTAATGGGATGAGGTTGCATACAGAGGGAAAGAAAGAGGAGGAGAGAGGAGCTCAGTGCATCATGGAAGTCCTCTGGCAATCTAGGCCTATCAGCATAACTAAAGGATGGTTCAGGACTCACCTGAGACAGCCCTATCTATGAGCTTTATTAAAGAGAAAAGTCTTAGGCCTACTCTTAAATGTGGAGATAGTGTCTGCCTCCTGAGCCCAAACTGGAACCTGGTTCCACAAGAGAGATGTAGTGACATCAGTTTGATCATGATTTATGAGTTTCAATGCGGTGAGGCTGAACAGTGGCCAACCCACCAGACAAATCCATGACAAATCTCTGATCTCGGCCTGCCTCTGCGGCTGTCACACCTACAGCACACAGGCCACTTAAAGCTTCATTTTGACTTTATACAGTCAACATCCACATCCCACCCCTGCAGACTGTGTGCTACACACTGTACGCGTGTGTGCTTTCTTCTTATCAGTGAACTGTAGTTGAAATCAGACTTGACTGCTTCAGTAACCTGCTGTGAATAACGGATTGACGAGACTGAAGCAGAGATTAAACACAAGTGTCTGTTTCCTCTTCTGTCATGCTTAGAATTAGGATATTATCGCATTTATGGGAATGTCACCCATGTCCCCCCTTTATAAATATATTTCTTCAAGCCAAAGTTGACTTTTCTTCCAGAATCTGTGGTTAATTAATATTGGTAAAATGAAAATAAATAGCCCACTGAGCGTGAAATGAGAATGCATTTCCATAAAGTCCCATAAAAGTGAGCATGCATCACCCTTCCACCACTTCCAATCCATTCCTTACAAGATAACATATTCTGATACTAATCTAGTAGCCTACACTTATGTTCAAGCTGCCTTATACATTTTTCAGAAGGATGAAGGAAGAGAAACTGAAATTGTCAGGGAATAAATTGTCTGTTGCATCTACACCAAACTTTACATCCTATTGATCTCTGTCTGCAACTGTTGCTTCATAATAATGCTTCATATTTGCTCTTTCTTGTCAGTCAGAACCATTCTGAAACATATGCTTCTTTTTTCCCCCCACATGACTTTGTTTCACTCTGCCGCTTTCCCTTCCTCCCAGTGGTTTCCAGTCTTTTGTGAATGACAGAGTCGCTGATGTTTTTTTTTTTGGGTAGGGTGCATAAATCAGTGTGAGAAGGGTGGGAGTGCGGTGTGGTGGTGGTGGAGGGGGGAGGGGGATAGACTGTCTGCGATCAGGAAGGTGTGGATGAAGAGTGTGCAACCATTAGAAAGCATCAAATACTTAGCCTGCACATGGAAAGCACACATGCACAATACACACGCGCGCGTGCACATACACTGCAGGTGACAGACATATATTTGTGTTCCACCAGGCAGCACTAATCAATTTGGTAAGCTGTGTGTTTGTGTGTGTGTGTATGTGCTTGGTCAATCTATAATTGTCTCCTGCTATCCTAAATTAAATGGCTTTAATGGGGACCAATGAACATGACTATTCTGGGAACACCAGACTGACCAAACTTTCATTAGGGAATTGATTCAACTGGGATAATACACAGGAGACTGGACACACACACCTACACACACACAATTAAAAGCTAAAAAAATACATATTAATTAATGTTTACACAGAACTCACGCTCTCTCAGTCTCTCTTTCTTTCTCTTGGGACTCGGAGCGCCAGTATGTGCACTAAAGAGCATCCCTCATATTTCACGAAGCCTGTTTCCTGCTGTTTCTCTGAGGATGCACCTATACTTAAACTGAGACACACACACAGAGCGTAAAGTGGGTCAGAGCGCTGGCATCCCTGTGCAATGGTTGGTTCAACCCAGGTTATACACAGAGGAATAGCTGACCAAAAAAACAAACGGATGTGACACGGGTACACTGTGGTGGGGAATTCAAACTGTTCCGCTGAACCAGACTGTCGGACAAAGCTGATGAAATTTTCAAATGGCCAACTCTGGCGGTTAAGCCGCCGCTCTGTGCACTATCATTCATTTCGCGCCCACTCCACGCCCGTCTTAAGCTCTTGTTTATTAACAACCACTCTCAGTTAGTCCATCGAGCGAGTGTGAGAAATCGGCTTATGGTTTTGCTTCTGTGTTGCGCCTGGTGAGATGAGAGAATGTGCGCGCAGGGGCTGTGGATGCGCGAGGCTTGATGGTTAGTGAAGCCACTCTGCAGAGCACACAGGGAGGCAGATGCTGAAGAGCAGTTTGTTCCTGAGCACCTCTTTTTTGGACAAAAAAGTGACACTTTATCATCATGGCGCGCTCTCTGTGAACGTCCAATTATCGTGGAAAAATGGACCAGTCAGGCATGTTTTGAAGATATTTCAAACCGCTACAACTAGGACAAAAAATTATGTCCAAAACGCATGGACGGACCGTGTGAGAGCAACAACTCCAGTCCTAAATGGCAGAACTTGAAGTTTGCAGAAATCTCAGTTTGGAAAAGGGTAAGTGCTCATTTACAAGATTTTTTTAACGTTTGGTTATTTGGGTATTTCAGTCCCAAATGGAGAGGAGTCTTCTCATTCCTTTGGATGCCTACTAGACCACACAGCAAACAGGCTGAAGTCCATGCGTAATTTCTCTATTGCGCTTGTTGTTGTGGAAAAATTGCATCACCCACGCTGCTATAAACACTTGAGAAAATAATCTTAATTGAGGATCGTCAATTAGCATTGGGGAATCATTGTGCAGTAATTAATGTTTGTCGATATTTTGGGTACAAAACGTTAGAAGGAATTACATGATATCACTCAGTCGATCAATGTGAATTTATAAACTGGTGACAGATTTTGTCAGTTTATATGAGAGCTCTGGATGATGACCAGCAGGAAACTGTCCCTTCTGCTGAAAATGCCCCTTTGTACTTGTCACTAGGGGGCAGAAAAAGCCTCTTAATTTGTCGACTTGACAAGACTTGCTCTGCCCTCAGTCCATATAGCATAGCATATACGTAGGTGTGAATGTGCCACATCGTTTTCAATCCTGCATCCTCTGCACTATTCACAGAAATCCAACCATCCCTTAAATGTTTATAGGTTATGTCACTGCAACGCCTTGGTGAGAAGATGCCCATAGCTTTACCACATGCCATAGCTCATAGGTGGATTGGATTGTCAACAGAAATAGAGGTCTCTTAAAACCCAGGCAGGGCATGTTAGCACCACACAATGTGACAGAGCTTTGGGTCGAGATTTGATGGCAAAATTGAAGCCCCAGCAGTCCTTGGGCTATTAGAGCTACCCTTTTGCTCTCTCCCATACACTGTCAAAAATATGGCGCATCCCTGGCACCCAAAGCAGGATGTGTCAGGCTGTCAGTCTTCACCCCTGCAGCGCCTGTGCTTCTTTATCTATGTGAGAGGGAGGCCCCTGCTTGCTTCAGTGGACTAAGGGGCTACCTCTTTATTCATTTTGGCAACACTTGTGTTAAGATGAGTTACATGGCACCATGAGCTCTTGCTAAGAGAGAAAAGCAGAGAAAATGATGGTGGGAGAAATGTTTGGAGGAGAATGCATGGCCGCTAATCTCCTCCACATGGAGGAAATGGCTTTTCCATGTAAAATGTGTTTTCCTCATGTGTCTCTCCTGTACTGATAATGATGAATCTCAGCATGCCCCCCCGCTGTCTCTGCCCCTGCCTTTCTGTCGCTCCAGGGCGAGAAAAAGCTAACAGACACCAGGGGAGGGAACACGGTCTCATCCTTTCGTTATTTTCAATCTCTCCTCTCCTTTATTGGTACCGACTGAAATGCGTGTGTATGAGTATTGAAATCTGTCAAGTACCAAAAGCTGGCATTGATATCTGATCAGACTGTTCCTGTCACTATCATTGCATCATTGTCTTTTTCGCTTGATTCTGAAGCGCCATAATTTGAATTTACATAGAATTTACATGACTTTTTCTGTATCTTTCTGCATGTTGAATTAGCTGCTGGCACATTACCTTTCTTTTGACATTAAATATATAGGATGTGAGTTGAAACATCAGCTTCCAAAACCTGCTGGGATTCTTAAAGCTAGCATCAGTGTAAAGCTGCAACCGGGCAATTTTATCATTTAGAATGCTCTATATACCTTTGTCTGAGTGACCAATAGAGAGCAAATTATCCACAAGTACTGGCTTTTATTTCATTTGCTTCCATCCCGTCAGCAGTTAATGAGCTACCCAGAAGCTCTGTCCACTAGTCACCTAGCCAACACTTTTAGGCCTCGCCTGTGTCCCGAAATGAAGCATCAGGATTTCATTTGAAGCAGTTGAGGCAGTCTCTGTCTGCTGCCAAAGATACTGCATCGCAATCTACTCACAGTCATCCAGCCTGGCTTTGGGAGGAAGAAAGAAGAAGCTTGACACAGCAGGAACAGTCAACAGTCAATACATATCAAATGTGCAAACCCACCCACCCACACCCACACTTATGCACACTCACACACACATATAGGCTTCAGTTTCCTCCGTTTGATGTCAGTCAGTGAACTCCTCCACTTGGGGAGCTCCCTCTAGCATCTTTGGTGAATGCATTATCATGCTGCAGTTGTCATGTGTTTATTTTAATTCCGGTGTCGCTCTACACCCTGCACCTTGGGGGACCTGGGAACCCATTTATAGCAATGGCAACTTCAGTGCTGCCTTAAGCACTCTTAATTATGCATAAGTGACTGCGAGATAAGAGTGTGTGTTTTCCCTATTTTTGCTCGCCCTTTCTCTGTGAGTCCTAACCTTTTATGTCGCTAATAAGAGGTTACACCAAAATATTTTTGACTTCTTCCATACAGATTTTGTGTAATTACTTTTGCTTTAAATGGTATTTATATTTGAATTTGTCCCCCTAGGCCCCAATAGTTTAGACTCAATAGCATTATGCTGCTATAGAATGTGAAGCGTTGAAGCTGTAATAGTGGAATATTGAGGGAACACTGCTCTATAAGAAGGCAGGAATTAGAAGGAAAACATGAAGATTTGAAAAAAAAAAATTGACAAACAAATGTTGAAGCTATCCTCATCTGAGTCTACAGCCATGCTAATGGCTTAGCGAGGTTCTACTTGAGCTAAATGCTCACATCACCATGCTTACTGAATTCAGATGTTATACACCCATAGGTTACTATGGATGTATAACGTCTGAATTCAGTCCGCTACTCAGCCTTTTTTGCCAGTTTTGCCCACTGGCCACTCACAGTATTGCAGCGAAAAATTGCCCTGTGGTCTGAAAAGCATTTTCCCCATAGACTGCCAATATATATGACAGGGCACCTCAAACGGCAAACACGATCAGTTATGACTCTTTCCATTATGAATGTTTGATCAATGGAGGTTTTATATTTGAAAAACTTTATTTGAGCTGAGAAAAGCGATTAAAAAATAATAATATAGTAATAATCTTTATTTGTAGAGCACTTTTCAAAAACAAGTTACAAAGTGCTTTAACAAGTGTAAAGACAATAATACCCAAGAGACAATAATACAAACTCTCTTGTTGCTGGTGAGGAACCTCTGAGTAAGAGGCCGCGGGGGTAATAGAGGCTCTGATTGACACCACCTTATTGGTAAAATAAGATAAAAACAATTCACAGTCATCATTACTTCCAGCTGAGGCACAAGGAGGGGTTGGGTTTACCAGCTGATCCACAGTCTTAAACAGAAACCTGGGATTGTGTTTATGTGTAGTAATGAGTTCAGAAAAATAGTGTATTCTCGCATCCTTAACCAAGTTATTGTATTTAATTGATAAATCCTTCAGACTGAGGTAATGGACTTGGAGATTGGATTTTTTCCATCTGCGCTCTGCTTTCCTGCATTCCCTTTTTAGGCTGCGAATGCTGTCATTTATCCAGGGTTGCTTACTAGCTTTAGACGTAGGCCTAACCTTTAGAGGAGCAGTAATATTTAGTGACGACAAGCAGATATGATTGAAGTGATCGACCAGATTGTTGGTGTTGGAATCAGACAGGTGTTGGCTTTGGCTCTGAAAGAATGCGCAAAACTTTGAAACACTTTGTTCATTAAAGATGCGAGAACACACGGAGCTTGGTAAGGCGGCATGAGTAACAGGCGAATCGCAGCTAAAAACAATACATCTGTGGTCAGATATGGTCATGTCCACTAATTCCACAGAGGAAATGCTGACACCCAGGGTAAAAACCAAGTCCAGTGTATGACCACGGTTATATGTTTGCCCTTTGACATGTTGTTTGAAGTTAAAAGAAGTGGCCATATTTAAAAAGTCAGTTGCATTAACATTGTTGGGGTCATCAACATGAATATTAAAATCACCACAAAGAACAATTCTGTCATAATTTAAAACCAGAGTAGATAAAAATTCAGTAAGTTCTGATAAAAATCCTCCAGGCGGTTTTGGGGGGTGATAAATTATAACAAGTATGATAGGTTGCAGCCCTCCAAGTTTAAGAGTGAGAACTTCAAAGGAGTTAAATTCATCACAGTGTACTTGATGACATTTTAAATTTTTCCTATACACGCTCACTAGCCCACCACCACGACCACTGACCCTCGGTTGACTAAAACAATCATATTGAGGCGGACACAGTTCAGCTAGCTGGCTATAGTCATTCATTTGCAACCATGATTCAGTTAAAAACATAAAATCTAGATTTGCAGACAAGATAAAATCATTTAAGATAAAAGTCTTACTTGAAAGTGATCTCACATTGAAGAGAGATTCTGTGTGGGATGTGCACATTTCGGTTTACTGGTCTATGCGTGATGATGACGGGAATAGAAGTCTTTGGAACAGCGCTGGGAGCAGACGGCTTTACATGCCAGCAGGTGGAGACAGTTGTTTGTGGCAGTGAGGCGGAGATCTGTTCAGTGAGCGGTGGTGTGTCCAGGTGTGCTGCATGAATGATTAGTCATTCACGTAAATCATGTGTGGACCGCCATCACAACGTAAAGTCTATGGGCCGAGTGGGAACTTGCGAGTGGGGGCAGCGGGCAAAACACTACTGCGCATATTCAGTGGGCCGCATACAGGGGCATGGCACAAAATTCTGGACCTTGTACATAGACATTGCCGATGGGCCCCTCCCCACATCACAGCTATTCATTCTAGTATCTCTTGCTTTGGATGAAAGTGTCAGGTAAATGAGTAAATATAAATGTAAAATGTGTTTTGGGTGATCAGATTGCAATCGGATAGCGCAGGACCTCATGAAAGTACAGGAGTAAATGCACCTGAGACGCATTAAGGGCAGATTGTGATCTGATCTGCAAAACCACCTGCGGAGGTGGTCAGGGACGCATTGGGACCATATGGAACACAAGTGTAAGTGCAAATGTGTTGTATAGCCACATACATAAACTACAACAGTCTGACAGTGCAGACAGTTAGTGTATCCATACTGTGTTTTGCATAAACATGCTCAAACAGCGGCAATCATTGAACATGCTCATGTTTTTGGTGAACTAGACTTGTCCGTTTGTGAACTC